GGGGAGTGGGGAGAATTAATAATCAGATCTTCAAAGGTGCATGTTCATGAATAACACGGGAGACGTTGTCAATAACTAAATACATTTGTGAGAGTAAAAAACTAATAAAATCAAGATCATCACTCACTTCTCTTTCCTGTGTTTTGCTATTAAAGCTCCTAAGTCACCTCCCTCACAAAACTCCATTATGATGTAAATAGTTGTGGTTGAGCGATCAAGAATTCTATCATAATAGCGTACAATGTGTGGATGTTTCAACTCTCGAAGAAGGTTCACCTCTGAAACTAGCATTTGTTTCTCAACTTCTGTCATTTTGCCATAATCAAGTTCTTTCCAAACGAGAACCTAAAAGAAAAGAACAACAAATATTTAACCATACACGCTAATGTCTGGTTGTAAAAACTAGGAATATCTAGACAAGTGTATATTTTAAGATGACCGAACAATGCAAACAGTTTTGGGCACAAGTTTCAAGACTTTTGCAAACCTTTATTTCAACTTGCCTGATTCAAGAAAGATTGTGGGTCCAATTACAAGCTAGCTGGTGATCATTATCGATAAACTGCTAAAATTCTTTAACAGTTTACCGAAATTTCAGTTCAAATATTTTGCAAAACGTGAAAGATAGTATAGGATAACTTTAGAAAAAATATTACCTTTTTATCGCTTCGTCGACGAATCTTTTTACACGTTCCGTATGAACCAGAGCCTATTTCTCCAAGAATATCGTAGTCTGTAAGTTTAGACGGCATAGCTTTCCTCTTCGCAATAATGCCTTGGGTAACAGTTGCTTTGCTCTTTAATCAACTACCGTTTGTCTAAGAATAAACAAATTTTAAAACGGTCAACCTCATCTTTTTTTTTTTCAGAAAACCTGTATGAAATTTAACTCAGGGCGAAAAAAAGTACACTGAAAAGAATGAGCGTCGTTTTGACGCAAAACTTACCAAACTAATGGTGAAAATTCCTGCTATGGCGAACAAAATTAAAATGGCATTCCACGCGAACAGTCAAAGCAGACTTGAACTTCGAGCGCAGCTTTCTGATTGGCTGATGCTCTCGCTCTCAAACTCAAGACGAGGCTGCCATTGAGATAAAGTTTTGTAGGTCTGCAAGTCGTGCAGAACAAAGCAGTACAGAATCGTTTCGATAAAATTGCACCGTTTGGAAAGTGTGGGTTTCTTTCTTTTCTTATTTTTTTCCTTTAAGAGGATACAAGGAATATTTCAGTTATAACGATTGAATAATTCTACTCAATTACTTTTTAATATATAATTTTCCAACTTGAAAGTTGGCTATCTATCAAATGGCTCGCTTCCCGGCATTATCTTCCCTCCATGTGAAAGTGTCATTCGGTCAGGAATACGAAAAACAGACAAGAAAAGGACGGAAAAGAAAAGAAATGACTTAACTTAGCTGACTGAGTTGAGGAAAAGTTTGGACGCTAAAGAATAAAACCCAAATGTTTTCCACGTGATGTACGCATTAGACAATCGGGTTTAAACGAAGTTTTTGCAAAATGAGAAGGCTCGATGAGATGATTCTATCAAAAATTTATATTGCGAATTAAGATAAATGTAAAAAATTTGCTTGTTAGACGGTGGACCAAGGATTCTTATTACTCATTCAACAAAACTTGTCGATTAGGTGTTAGGGCAAGAAACATTTTACGTGGATACCTGTATATTATATCTAACAGTTGGTTCATAGGTCATTGTGGTATTGAGATTCAAAGCACCGTTGGACGCGAGAAGTTTAGAAATCGCGAAAGATGACTTGAGAGTTGCTTGAGGCATAGCTAAGAGCAACTCTAACTTCCTGAGTAATCTCCAAGCAGTGTCATATCTCAATGATTCGAGAGCCACATATGCAAGATTTTCCTTTAAATTAGCTTTTGTAATCGTTACGGTGGCCAATTTGCCATTTCAACTTTGTTGATATATCCAAATTATTTCCTTTAAATGGTTTGTCTATGGCCGTCGTCGAGACTATTTTGCTAGTACGTTAACGATAATTTCCTTCCGTGGGCGTACTTATTGTCTACTAACCTTGCCTGGGATCTACATTAAATTTCTTGTTTTGGCTTTGCTTTCAAAGGTCGATGGTTTCATCGGAAGCCTTAAGTATGTTGTTACTCATTCGTGATAATCTAATGAAGATATATGGATTAAGTTCTGATAACAAATGTTTAACATTCCAAGGTCAGTTTGACCCGCATGCAAACTCATGCTTTCCGCCAGTGTATATAAAAGCGTTTGCTGAAGAGTTGGTGATTAGAATCAAAGGGAGGGTCAGCGGTGTTGGTCACTCCGAGCGATTAAAGACAAGCATAGTTAAAGAGGTGAATTTACGGTACGTAGAAGTTTGCAGACATTTTTACCATCGCAGTAGTGGCTGAGCTAAGCAATAGACTGCACCTTCTAGCTATCAGTTTGCTTGCGTAATGACTCAGGCGGGAAGTTGCGGGAGCACGAAAAAGTTTATGAATCACTCGCCTCCTGCTGGTGAATTACAAACTTTTCTTGTGTACGTGTTCTCCCAGCATCCCGAGTGGGTTATTACGCCAGTCAACAGACAGAAAGTGCGCTCTATTGCTTTTATAAAGTTTATTTCAAATTTTCTGTGGGTTTACCGTCGCAGGAAACGATAGTTTTTTGGAGCAATCAGGGCGTTCGTAGTATAGCACTTATTTCATTAACACAGATCCGAACAGGTTATAAGGAAGAAATACAAGTAAAGGTTTAGTGTCCTCGGTGCCTTCCGTTATGTGTGGTACACTCTGAGCTGCAATACAGTTAGTTTCCTGCCTAACCACGCTGGGAAGCCACCTTAGCAATTAATTAGTAGCTGATTAGAAATCTGTTTGCAAATTGGTAACCTCTCGTTGATACCATAGAGTTTTGCGTGGGTTTCTCTGCCGGTAAACGTCAGTCTTTTCAACAAGGCAAAGAGGAGAAAAAGCTGTTTGGACAATCATGCACGCCAGGAATAGCAATGGTGTTTTGAGAAATAACACGTTTTTAAAGACTAACTCACAGCCAATATCGGAACCAAAGTTAATCAAATTTAGGGGAAATCAAAACAAAGGTTTACGGGAAGACATTGACGCAGCAAATATCCAGTATGAAAATACAATATAAATCTTGTGTTCTTCAGGCGATTTTCCTTTCACTTCATGTTCATTTTTGTTAAGATTTTTTTATCATAAAGAGAGAAAATTATTTGAAAAATCACGCAAGGAATAGCAGCGATGTTTATAGGAATAACATAGTTTTAAACGATGACTCACAACCAAAATTGGAACCAAGGTTCAAGGTATATGATATAATCAAATTAATTTAAGGAGAAATCAAAACGAACGCATTATATTTGCTTGAAGTAGAAAACAGTCATTATGAGAACACAGGTATATATCTTGTTTTCTTGAGGCAATTTTTTTCTGTTAATTTTCTCATTTGTTGTTATAAAGATTTTTAACAGTTGCCTGATAGGAAGGAAAATGATTTTTAATCAGAGATAATCTGTGATAAATCAAAGAAAAAATTAAAATCATAATATACGAGATTGAAGATGAGTATTTTGTCTTTCAATAAAAATAATTTCATTGCTGCAAAGTATACCACCAAACAGTTTGTTCACTTGCTTATACATGGGAATCATCGATTAACGATTGCATTTGAAAACAGGTTTTTTTTTTAATTTCTCTACTTAAAATGATTAATAGAGAGATTTGTCTTCTTCATTGTAACTAAACCTGCGTATAATCTGTTTTTTTTTCCCGATTCTCTATTTATCGAGGTCTGTTGTCGAAACTCACGCCCTTCCGTCGAGTCACTTATGAATGAGGAATTTTTATCCTTTTTTTCTTCAACGGTCGAATGGAAAATTCTCAAGTTTCCGTAACGTTTCATGAATTTTAACTTCCTTTTTCACGAGACGCTATGAATGCAAAACGTTCCTTTTTTCTTTCCTTTGCAAATTTAGTTTTCAGACCTCCTTGAAATTACCTCATAAGTCGCAGTGATATAAGATATGTCATTTTTTGTTTATCACGGTAGCCATCGTAAACCTAAAATAGAGCTCTTTTTTGTAAATCTTCGCTTCATGCAAAACACATATAGCGGTCTTAATACATATACTTTAAACCAGGAAGTCAAACAAAAAATTGACAAATTATGTCTAATTTTTCTCTTCACGACAGCTTGACATTCAGCGAAGTTAAAAAGACGAAGAGCGGATTTTTAGCAGGAAAGATAACAGGACTTGGAATAACGGCGTAATCGTGAATTTTTCATAACAAAGAAAAACAATTATAGCTTAAAAAAATTAAAAATAGGTACATTTTTGCGAAAAGTCGATGAGTGCTTCAATTTTTCCTGTATTGGTCCCATGGGGTTGAAGACAAACATGCCAGACCGTTTGCAACTTGCACCGTTATTGAACAGTTCGAAAATTATTAATATATATATCTTATTAACCAAGCGCGAGGGCCGTACTGGGAGAATATCGGCCCGAGGTCTTGACAGTACGGACCGAGCGCAGCGAGGTCCGTACAAAAAAGACCAAGGGCCGATATTCATCCAGTACGGTCCCGAGCAAGCTTGGTTAATAAGCGATTTATTATACGACTGAAGTTCAAAGGGACACAAGTGCGGTATCATTCGGGACCATTCGGGACAGTGCCCGGTCCAATACTGAGAGAGTATTGGACCGGCAATAGAGCATTTTGATTGGTTGATTTTAGTTATTGGCCCTCTGACTGCCTAAGTCGTGTCATAATTTGTGATATTTGATAGGAAACTTCAATTAAGATTTTCAAGAAACCCATTATTTCAACAAACTGTCGCCTCCGTCGCAGAATTAGACCTTTTGTGTGCTTGGGTTATGAATTTCCTCCAATGCGTCTCATGGTGCCACTATAATTGGCTGGGATTCTAAAATTTGTTTCTTAAGTTTCAAGTTTTCCCAACCATCAAGATTTATGCTGACAGTTTATTAATAGATTGTATTTTACACTTCAGGTAAGTAAGATTTTACACTGAGTTTTATCGAATGTCAATTTCTCACTTCATTTCTATAGATAACTTAATATATAACGCTGTTATTTAGTGAGCGAGGACAAGTGAATTGTCAATTTGGTGTGAAGTTTTAAATATTTTCCAACCGTGTCAGTGGATACGTCGATGTTTATGATATTCTGTTAGTTCCTTATTGAAAATTCTCGTATTTTAGTTATCGATCTAGCGGATTGATTAAAAGAAATTGTCTAACATTTTCATGAAAATTTGATATTCCAAAACTGAGAAAATGACATTACGCCAATATTTTCAAAAACCCTTGGTGTTTTGTCCAAATATTTCTTTCATTCAGATCATTTCTTTTCAAACGCGTATTCATGTGACTTCATGTGGGTTTCATTTATACTTTATGGAAGTGTTTTCTTTTTTTTGCGCATTAATGGTTTAGAATTACCTCCTAAAATGGGTTATATCTAAATTACACTAGTCTTCATTGATGTAAAGTATTAATTTCTACTAGCCACAGAAAGACCCATATCATACTCAAATAAATAAAAGGATGAAACATCTGCGGCAAAATACTAAAATTAAAACGGTAATGGACATATCCATCTCAATCGCTAACCCTAATACTGGTGTTATTTCTACGCCCAAGTCATGAAATATGCTTTAGTTTCATTACGTGTTAATTTCTCTATTTCGAAGCCCTCAGCTTTGAGTGGCGAACCTTTACCAGGGCTGCGGGCTCCGGGCCTGCTTTACCCAAACGAAACGTTTTAAAAACGCACTTGTGACCAGGTGGATTCACATTAACAAATATGAATGCTTCACCGGTTCAACACGAGCGTTAAACCTAAGGGTTAAAAAACCCGAAGTTTTGACGGTCTTAGGTTCGCGCTTCATCGAGCGGAAGTGATCATGCAAAATTTTGAACTCTAAATCTTGCCTTTTAGCCGAAGTAACTTTGAATACTCAAGTGGCAAATAAATGCTAATTTTACGATAGAGAAGATTCTTGCAATTGCAAATACTGTTTTTCAAATATTCTACAAGACACCCACCTGTTACGCAAATTAACATTTATGTAGGATCTTGGAAGATCCTGCGGGGATGAAGAAACCATAGCTTCAAAACTGTTCACCTAAGGCAGATTTTTGTGGTTTGTTCTGCTCTACCGAGCAACGCTGGGGTGTTGTTTCGGTCCAGATGTGACGTTGTACTTTATCAATGTAATAATCGTGGCAGGGAATTGACCCAACCTCGTTCCCAGAGCCTTTTCCCTTCCCAACTAATGGAAAAGGCCCTTAAAACTTAACTGAAGGTCTGGCACGGGACTAATCTACAACATATCTTACTGTTTATTTACAGAATCATTTCCACGTTTCTTCAAAAATTATTCATTAGATGTGTTCGCGATGGGATGTTCCGCTTCATTTCATAACCGCGGAGCAACCAAGAACTGGTCTCCAATCTCAGTTTCCCTTGGATTCAAAGGTCTCTCTACTCCTTTGAGTCGCAAGACGAAGAATACTTTGAAAGAATCATGGAAACTTGTCGAGCCTGTTAAGACTGAGGCGGGAAAGGCAATGTTTATGAGGTGAGCGAATATCTGTTGTAAGTTATTCATTAATTTTTCTGTTATCCATCTATTACAGTTTAAATGACAGGATCTAGGGATAAAGGATGTAAAAGAACAGGAAGGGGAGGGGGAGTCTATAAATGGTCCATAATGAGTTGCTCCTTTCGAGACAGACCATCAAGATGTATTCGTTTCATGAGAAATAATAACGAAGGATTAAAAAACAATCCGAAATCTAAGGAACATGTATAGTTCTAGTCACAAGAGATTCACAGTCGTAAAAGAGCTCTGCATTGTCTCACGGGTAACGAAAGAGAACTTTTCCTTTTCCTCCGATACTTTCTAATTAACAAAAAGATTCCATATTGCCCTACTTTTGTTCATTAATGGATCACTGATGACATCAAGTAAGAAAGAAATAAGCGACGCATGCGTCGCAGCCCAGTGTAAATGATTGTGAATATATGGAAATCATATATAAGAACTGCGGGGTGAGAAATGAATATCAAAGCGATCTTCGCAATGGTGAACACCACGTGAGCAGTGGTGAAAATAAGGCCTGAAAAATATTCAGGTCGGTACGGAATTTGAACCCATGATATCTGCGATACCGGTGCAGAGCTCTACCAGTTGAGTTCACAAACCACTGAAATGGCAGCTGGTCATTATGATGGTTCATAATAAAACCCGTGAAGGGATGAATCAATGATTGTGAATATATGAAAATCATATGCGTGAACTGCGGGTGAAGCAATGAATATCAAAGATGTTCTTTCTTGCCACATTTGACGTCTTCTGTAATCTACTGACTGTACAGACCTATGGCGACATGGAAGTTATTTGGTATTTTTTTTAGGATAAAATACAAAATGCTGTTAATGGTGACGTCATATAGGCGTCTATCCTCCAATAAATCACGAGTGAGAACCAATCAAAATGCGCGGGTAAAGGTATTTAGACTGCGTGGATAACATCGGCTTATCTTATAAATGAATAGCCTGCTTGCAGGAGGTAGTTTGTGTTTTCAAGCGCGAGATTCAGCGCGGCGAATTTTCGGTCGCCTTATTGGACGGGTGGAAGATTTAGGACAAGTGACAAGGCGAGGGGAGGGGGGAGGGGTAGAAATATGGTACATCTGAGTAGCAACTGATAACATTTGCGGAAAGGAGATTGTTCTGAAACAATTAGTTCTTTATTTGTACTTTTTGCCATTTAAGGCTTTTCGAGACACATCCAAACATTCAGGACACATTTCCAACATTCAAAGGCGTCAGCTTAGACGAGTTGATGAACTCTCGATCCTTGTATCTTCATGCCAAGCGAGTTATGGCTGCTGTTGAAAATACTATCAATGCATTAGATGATTGTGAAGTGTTATTGGAAAGTCTTTCAAGCCTGGGACAAAGACATAAAGTTTGGTTTGTCAGGGAGGAACATTTTAAGGTTTGAAAATTAAACTATACTTGTAATTTTAATTCCTCAGACATACTTTTTGCCGGTGTTCTCCTTGCTCTTTAATTTGGTATCGAAAGTAATGCAGGATTTTTTTGGTTTTACTTAACTTCGCTCTGTGATTGGTCCAGAAAAATCGCGCCAATACATATATCTTATTAACCAAGCGCGAGGGCCGTACTGGGAGAATATCGGCCCGAGGTCTTGACAGTACGGACCGAGCGCAGCGAGGTCCGTAGAAAAAAGACCGAGGGCCGATATTCTTCCAGTACGGTCCCGAGCAAGCTTGGTTAATAAGAGATTTATTATACGACTGAAGTTCAAAGGGACACAAGTGCGGTATCATTCGGGACCACTCGGGACAGTGCCCGGTCCAATACTGAGAGAATATTGACCGGCAATAGAGCATTTTGATTGGTTGATTTTAGTTATTGGCCCTCTGTCTGCCTGAGTCGTGTAATAAAACTTCTTAGCCAATCATATTCAATACTTACACCAATCGCGTGATTTGGTCACCCGCGTTTTCCCGCGTTTCATGCAGTTTGTCTGTTTTTACTGGATCAGTTATCATTGGCTAATGATAATGTCAACCTTCACTGCTATTAGCTGCTCTGATTACTTTGGTTTTGGTTTTTCGAAAACTCAACTGAAATTAGGCTCGATTATTAGCCGCTGTTCGGGAACCGGAGCCCGCGCTCCTTCCCGAAGAGAGTCTCGTCAGAGCCAATAGGTGAATTGTGGGTAATGTGTGGTTTAAAGATGGAGCTGTCCTATTGGTGGAAACATATGGTAAGGTGAAAAACAAAAGAATACATTTTTTGAATGAAAAGTGTACGTTGATACCGATGAAAGATATAATTTTGTTCAAGAGTTTTGCCACTTACCATGCAACCTAAATGTTGGGAAAAGGCCGCAGACTGCCATGTGTTTTTGAATATATGAAAATCATATATGTGAACTGCGGTTGAGGAAATGAGTATGAGAGCGATCTTCGCAATATAACGAACAATACTTAAGCAGTAGTGAAGATAAGGCCTGAAAAAAAAACAAAAAAACTCAGGCCTGCTTAAGTAGTGTTCATTACTGCGAAGATCGCTCTCATACTCAGACTGCCGTATGATGCCTAAGCACATCCCCCAATTGGATAAGATATTTCGCTTCTGTTTTTCCTTTGCAGGTTGTTGGTGAAGCTCTTCTGTGGACATTACAGAATATGCTCGAGGCAAAATGTACGAATGAAGTTACATTGGCTTGGACAGAGTTGTATAACTTCATAACTAAAACGATGTTACGTGGAATTTCAAGTAATAACATAGACAAGTGAATAAAAAGTTGTCTGAATATAAAAATGTGTGATTTGCACGCAGAATATATATCTAATCAAATATGTAAGTAATATAACGTTCTTTGCTTATGTTTTATTCATTTGTTTCTTTTTCTTGGGTACTTGTTTTGTTACCAATTTGTTTTTAGCGGCAAGTATTTGTGTAAATAAGAAAATAAATAAATAAAAAGTGAAATAACTGGATAGGAAAATAAGAGAATGATTGAATGGTTTTAATACGACAGGCTTTGGCAAATTTTCAACATTTCTCTAACCTTAAATGGGGACAAGGTGTCGTTATCATCTAGGAGAGTGTCAAAGTAAATTGTTGGTGCTCTTCAGTTACGACTTCGATCTGGATACTGAAGTATCACTGTAAATCTTTCAAGGCGAGCTAATTTCCAGACGAGTGTGATAACTTCGAAAAGTCAATGAATTACTGCGAAAAAACAATTACCGAGAAGGTAATTGTTTTTTTTTTTTCTACTCATTCCTGACAGAAAACTACTGACCCCCGCTAACCGAATATATAATACTCTCAAAAGATCCTTGACGGGCGTGATCATTCTCTTGTACATGTGTGTATACTATTAGTCCCTCTTAATCTAAGTTTTATTTAAAATTAGAGCAGTTTCTAATGAATTGTGAAAAAAATCCTGGACTGCGTTAGTTTTGCCGATTTGCTCTGTAATTAGCCTAGAAAAAACTCGCGCCACTCCCTCTCAACCATTCAAATTCAAATAGTTCAGTTTGAAAAAACAGTGATAGCCTGGGATCGAAAGTATCCGCGCAAGCGCTTATGGGATTGTTTGGGGGGAACTCCGAACCGGCCATTTTAATTTTGAAAAATGCCAAAGCATACAAGTTGCAGCGTGCCCTTGCACACAAATATTTTCAGAAACTCCTCCGGATTGACGTTCTATCGAATACCTAAAGAGAAGAGTATTCGCCGGAAATATGTACGTTTAATCCGGAACGAAAATAATTTAAAGTTAGAGTCCGACAGCACACGCGTTTGCTCTGCTCATTGGAGTGGAAGTAAAAAGCTGACCAGAAATCACCTGCCATCAATATTTCCTTGGAGTAAGGAGAAAACTGAGCGACGGATTTTGTCCAAGGACGGAATCGATTACAAATGTGAGCAGTAAGAAGGAGAGTCGATGTATTTATTACCGAAATGGATGATGGGCCTCTTCTCAACATTGAAGAGCGCATGCAAGGCGCTGTTTACATACCGGCTCCATCTTTCAGTGATGCTGAGACTCAAACTGAAGTGACTAAACAATTACTGGATCGAATTGAAGCTGAACTAAATGAGATCAATCGCACGTTAGTCACTCGTCGGCGTTTTCCGCGCTTTTTCTTTGGCTTCTGATGATGATATTCTTTGTTCTGATTGACCTTTGGAATTACCTTGGTCGGTCAATTAGCCTCCATTTGGCGCGAAAATATGCACACATATTTATCTGCGGACATTATCTGTTCCGAGATGCAAACAGTTTTCCTAGATCGGAAGCTCGAGGAAAACTGTGAGCTTCGAGGAACAGATAGTAACAAAAGAAAAATATACAAGAATGTTTTCGCACGAGAAAAATGTTTACGAACAGCTTACCGTTAACGGCGTGAAATGGTCACTTTTCCGTGTTCTCTGTTACGATTTTATGAACAACAACATGTCCCTCCTCGTGCAACAACCAAACGTTTCTCACCTTGAATTAAATTTTAAGTGTATAATTTTTTTTATCGGACGTAAGGTTTGAAAATTGGGGACTGTCACTTGGGGTATATCCTCGGATATACATCCCCAGATTTATTTGGGGGATATACGGTCATGTGATATGTTTTGACCAATCGCGCGCGAGCAAAAGTATTTGTTGGATTGTAATATGCGGTATTGTTAGGAGGAAGGCTATTGTTGGAAAATAGCGAAGTTTGAGGAAATGGTCCAAGAAATTAAGATGAATAAGATTTTAAGCTTGTCTTTTTAACTCATGGGATTTTTCTTAAGACCAGTGAATGAGAAGAAGATCAGTAAGGGTAAAGTCAAGCACTACCATAAGATATCACAGACTTCAATAGTGTTCATGTGCTAGTTTTCATTCAAATGTGTACTTTGGATCCTGTTTTCTATTGAGTAAAATTTTGAGCTCCCTCTAACAAATAGATTCTATTTTGCCGTACGTCAGTTCACCAGAAGTGACACATTGGCGCAGTCGAACTGTGATCTATTGCTAGTTATGAACAGAGCTACCGAGCGATGGCAACTGATTATGCAACCCAGTAGATGCGAGCGGATGTAATCGGATGTTTGACGTAAAACAATAGGAATGTCACAGCTCTGTTTTGATGAGGAGACCTTTCTAATAATAGATCTCCTCGGTGATAAAAAAGGATTTGTTCAAACATCACTTGTTTTCCCGCCCATTTGTGGTTTTTGCTTCCGGGGACCACGGGCTTCGGCACTTTTTTCCTATAGCGGACATCTTGTTATGTTTTGAGCTTCAAATAAATCATTTTATTAGAGGAGTTACTCCTGCTTATTCGACTGTTCTGGTATCGAGAACACTTGAGTCCAAAGCTTAATATGGGCTCCTAACGGTGCTGAATCTAAATGAGCGATAGATCCCTTGTTAACTAGGTCAGTTGTTATGCAAAAGTATGAACCCAAAGTTGACCTTCAAGTCTCTGGCATTGAAATTGGCCCGATTTATACTGGAGACGGATCATCCGTCCCGATGGATTATCCGTCGAGAAGGATCATTTGTCTAGTATAAATATGTGAAGGAATATGAGACGAACTATCGGTGTGTCGTGTGACTCATCCCGTGTTTTATACTGGACGATTTTTCTGAACACAACGAAAAGGCTTGGGCCCTAGTCAAATGTTTTAGTGCGGCATTGGCGGCAAATTTCAAAATGGCGGCAATGACACTGGTGCTTTTTCTCCTCTGCTAACACAAGCGTAAGGTATTTCATTTATGTATTCGTCCATACACGTTCTTTTTTTTGACTTTCTGGGCTTGTACGAACCACCATTTGACTTGTCCGCCATCTTGAATTGATAGTTTATTGAAAACAACCGCTGGCTTCTTGTAACGAGGTGTAGTTTTCGTGGATAGTTCGTCTTCTTCCCGCATTTATACACAGCGACGGATCATCCGTCTTGACGAGTTATCCACAATAATTCGTCTGACAAGACAAACTATCGCGATAGCTCGTCTGGATGGATGATCCGACTGGTTGCCCGTATTTATACACAGACGGATTATTAGACGAGCTACCGTTCCTTGCCCAAGCTCGTCCTAGACGGATGATTCGTCTCTAGTATAAATCGGGCCATTGTGTGTAGAGTGACCAATCGGAATTTGGTCCAGTTTTAGCAAGAATATAATTTCCCATCATCCGCTTCGTTTACGCGAATCCCGACTAACATCGTTTTTGTTATGAACTTAAACAGTTCTGTCCAGGCCTCTAAAACCTGACTCGTGCATTTAGACTGAAGCAGGTCTTGCAAAGTCCACAACAGAGCCTCACCAACAACCTACGGAACAAAACGAAAACGTGTCGTTAACGATCGTAAATCACCGCAAATGTTCGTAGAACAACAGTTTAAGGTTCCGTTATTCTAAAAACGATATGAAAATGCTTGTTAGATATTCGTTAAGCACGCAGTTCTTTTTCTCAGTTATGAAAAGTAATGATCTAAAGTTTTTCTTTAGAATCCAATAAAAGGGAATATCACAATTTGATGTTTAACTCTTGCCTTTTTAAAAGAAAAAAAGTAATTAGGAACTGTTAGCTTGAGTTACGAGGATGATCAGATAATGCATTGGTTCAAACTTAATTCGCTCCATAGTTAATCTGCAGAATAAACCTAATTTTGCCGAGTGAGAGCTCATTACTTTCTTGGTGAAAATTTTAGCTGCTATTTTTTATCTCTACGGCAGCGGAAGGCTGGGGAAAGCAAGAAATTTGAAACAAGAGGGTTAGTGACGGTCGAAGGAAAGGAGAGGGGAGGGGGTGGAGCATAGAAAACACTGCTTCTCGCCTTTTCCCACTCCCTACCCCCACCGTCGATTCTAACTCTAAATCAAACAGGGCCGGTCAGATGAACAATAGCGAGCTTGTAGCGTTAACTCGCCCTAATAAGACAAGATGTAAAACAGAAACCCATCCCCACTTATTTATTTGCGCTGCAACAAACTTTAAACAGTTTACTTTTCTTTATTTCGAGTTATCGGTTGTTCTGGTCAGCCGTTGCAGTTTCTTCGATTCTGAATTTTAGACTTGGTCGAATAATCCGCTTTTCAGTTGCGTGCTTGGTTGCCAAGCCGTTGAAAAGGAGTGAGACTAAGCGCGAGCCTGTCATGATACAAACGTATCTGCTTTTCAAGTATAAATTACTTCGTTATCATGCCAACCAGATACTGGTCTTTATACCTTTTGGTGTTCATTACGAGAAAATACGCATTYATTTCCGTTAAAACGTGAACAATTGCGTGAAAATACAATTATGAGAGATAAAGAAAACCGTAATTTGCGCGTAAACAGGAATCAATAACGATTTTTGCATTTTAATCAGCATTCAATAACAATTTTGGGCATTCTTATGCGTCATTCGTCAAACTAAAGAGAAAAATATACTAGCATTTGCGTTAACATTCAAGTCATTTACACCCTCTTGAAAGTGAATAGAGGCAAAACACAAACAATATAGTGCATGAACCATTCATTAACATTTTTATCACACTGTTTGCAATTCAATAGCATTACTGGACGGCATTAGCATGAATAAGACAATTATTAATGCACTTGTATAAACAGTTCAGTGTTTTTTATATTCAATATGCTAGAAGCGATTTTCAACTGAACACCGATTTTGCCTGAATTTGCATTCAGTAGAGTTCGTCCGGTTAATTCGCTTCGAAGAAACCGAATACTACTCTAACACAGAGAGAGAATCGTGAGAGGATTGAAGACGAGGACGAAGATTATCTTGTGGTCGCGGAATCGCTCGGAGTGAACCAATCAAGGGCAAGAGGCATTGTGGCGCGCTACATCAGAGAGGGCAGGATCCAGGAGAGAGATCACGAGGAAGTAGAAACAAGGTGCGCGTGGATGATAAGATGAGAGATTGCCTAGAGGAAATCATCAACGAAAACTGTTTACTCACACTTGTTCGGATAAACTACCACTCAAACCCGAGATCCATGACTGTCTATGACTGCACTGTGGCAAGGACATAAGACGGGATGCTCTTCTGAGTGAAACTTGCAAATAGGTATATTTCAATTGAAATTCTATGTGTGACTATTGAAAATAAAAAACGCTCAATTGTTTGTACAAGCGCAAAAATGATTGTCTTATTCATACTAATGCTGTCTAGGAATGCTATTGAATTGTAAACAGTGTGATAAAAATGTAAATGAAAGCTATMTACACTAATACACTATATTGTTTGTTTATTGTCTCTATTGACTTTCAAGATAGTGTAAATGACTTGAAGGTTACCGCAAATGAGAGTGTATTTTTCTCTTTAGTTTGACGAATGACGCATGAGAATGCCCAAAATTGTAATTGAATGCTGATTAAAATGCAAAAATCGTTAATGAATCTTGTTTACGCGCAAATGACGGTTTTTTTTCTTTAATGATTGTATTTTCACACAATTGTTCGCCTTTTAACGCAAATGAATGCTTTTTTTCTCGTAATGAACAGCAAAAGGTGTATTACAACAAGGTCACCTTCAGTATCACTCCAAATCAAAGGCTTGGCAACTAAGCACACAACTGTAAAATGGAATTTCTGGCGTTTGAGTCCCAACGAATAAGCCGGAATTTAAATATTTCTGCGGCACGAGAGCAACAGGACAAGGGCCTGGGCCCTTGAGTATAGATGCATTATGGGTATAGTGATACGAGTATTAAAGCTTGTGATTGCACGTGGGCAATCATTCTAGACCGACACCTTTTCAGCTATTGCTAAGTTTCTTTATTTATTTATTTTTGTAAGTATGCATATAGCCTAGTAGGAAGGTTACGTGAGCTTGGGCCTGGTTCCTACCCAGATTTCCTGTCTCTTTTTCCTTACGGGGTTTTTTATGACAGGTTTTTTCTGGCCGCCGTTCTAACCACGATGTTTGCTAGTGGTTGCTAAGCTCTCGATATGTCTTTTTGTCGTGTGCTTTGGTAACAATTACCGAGAATGCAACGGTTTTCTGTATGTGTTTCTTCATCATTGTACGCTGGTGCTCGGCCGAAACATGCAAAATAAACCTAATGGTTCACTATATTAGTGTCTGTTGAGTAGTGTAGCTGAAATATGGCTTATTGCGCAAGTTCTAAGTGTTCCGCTGAATCAATAACTTACCGCAAAGTGGTCTTCCATTACAGACCAGGCCTGATGTCTTTGTCCCAGGCTTGTAAGACTCTCAATCAACACTTCACAATCATCTAACGCATTGATAGCATTATCGACAGCAGCCATAACTCGCTTGGCATGAAGATACAAGGATCGAGAGTTCATCAGCTCGTCTAAGCTAACGCCTTTGAATGTTGGAAACGTGTCTTGGATGTTTGGGTGTGTCTCAAAAAGCCTGAGAATTAATACACATGGCAAATCAATCAGTTAATGGGCTTGATCATGTAATTTTTTTGATATCCTTTTGTAACAGCAGTCGGAAATCTCTTTTCTTGAAGATTCATCAACGAGAAACATCAGCTCGTCAGAGCTGACGCCCTTGATGACTGAAAACCTGTCTTAAATGTTTTGATGTGTGATCATCATGAAAAGTCAAACAACCAATTTTTGTAACTGCTTTAAAACCGAATAAAACGTAACAACAAGAATTTTCTGGGGTAGGAAAATCTCTGAAGAAGCTAAAATCCAAAAGAAACTAAATTATTTTTTCAGATAATAAACTTGAAAAAAATAAAGCTAAATTTCTGAGGACTCAAAAACTGACTGATTAATTGGTTTAAAATAGTTTTTGAAAACAGTCTGACCAAAATAGCCATTGCCACCAGCTATTCATTTCAGGGACACTTTTGTACGTGTTGACTATTTCCCTTTTTTTCTTCCCCAGTTGTTTTGTTAGTCCTTCAATGACCATTTTTCTTGTCATGAGAAAACCATCAGCTGCACAAACCGGAAAGTAAAGATCGTCATGAAAAGCTAAATTTAAACTGACCATACACTCAAAATTTAATTAACAGGATCCTTGCAGCCCTCCCGCTACCTTCGTTTCAATAACTGAGCGTCATTACCCACGGTGAAATACTACCAAGAATCCTTGCTCAGTGAAAATTTTTTGCTAAGATTGTTTTTTTTTTCTAAAATTGCACTTGCTGTTATTAGTGTTGAAGTAAAGATATGTTAATTTGTCCTTAAACATTGGATTCCATTTGCGACGCAAAACAAATTCATTTGACGTTGCTAGCGTATTATTTCCGAATTTTAAATGACAGTAAGCAAAGTATTTTTTTAAAATGGAACTTGTACACAAGAAAGATTACTTTAAATCAAACAAATTTAACGCTATCTCGATGAAGAAAACGGATCGTCATATTCATATCTGCAACGAATAAAGTAGATTTTAAGTTCTTTGATATAAAAGCTTTGAAACTTCTTCCTCTGTAGGGATAACATCAAAACAGTCAAAACAAGACATATTTAAGCAAAACAAAGTTGAAACAGAATCGAAATAGAAATAGGCTCGGAAAAGTACACCATAACCTAACGATGCACTAAAATTCATCTGAAATATCGAAGGCAAATGATATTTATTGTGATTCATTTTACCTTAATTAATTCCATGCTGTATACTTAATTCCTATATATTTGTAGCCAATGGTGAAATTTTTAAGTTGAGGTTTGACCTACCTCACAAACATCAATTTTCCAGCTTCGGTTTTTAAAGGCTCCACAAGTTTCCACGATTCTCTAAGCGTATTTTTTGTATCGGCTGTTAAAGGAACAGCGACTGTCTTTACTTTAGCCGATGGCAAATGTCGTGAACTAACACGAGGATGAAGCGAGGCCGAGCAACCCATAGGGAAGTCATTTGTCATTCAATTTCTGAAAGGAAGGTATGTTTAGATTTAAAATTCAAATAAGTTTCAAGCAATTAGTGGAGCAGGAGAGGTCACGGAGAGAGAGTTTTTGCGAAGTTTCAAAGTCAAATGAAAATTAAAGTTTAAACTGGACATTCCTTCTCTGCAAGATAGGAATGTCTGTGTCACTGTACAATTTGAATTACATTAAGTTTACTACTCGGTAGCTGTGTATCAAACTTTGATGTATATACAAAGAGTTGCTTAAACATTACTCATAATCTACACATGTAGCTAGCGGTTTTATTGTGCGCTTTCAATTAAGCGTCTAGCGCGCGGCGCAGTCACAGAAACATTAGGGAACTTTAGCATCACGTTTACGGCAAACGGCGAACCTGAGGAGGTCACGTGACCACCGCTTTGCCGTCACGTTTACAGTTTGCCGTTCCAGTTTCGACGGGAAGAAGGCGCTCCAGCCGTAAGTGACTTATGGGAAGGTTTTTTGGCCACTTAACGAAACCAACTTACGTTTGACACTTTTAGTAAGAATTTTCTACCATCTATGGATCCAAAATTGTTTTTTTTGTGATTAAAAAAACAATGTATTTTGCATGATCTAAATGGAAGAAAGCCGAGTGGCAAAAGAACTTGAAAACAAAATGGCGGCTCGAAGTTCCTAAACATGTGCATGCACAGAAGCACAGCTATGGAGTTCTGTATCAATGTATGCCTTCTTCCATTTCTAGAAAATGCCTTTTAGATAGCCAAACACTTGCCAAGAGGTGATGCTGGCGACCGAAGTGGCCCAGCGAAGGCCAAAATGTCCCGCTGATTAAAGGAAATTCCGAGGGTA